CTGGTTCGCGTCTGGTGAGGGAAGGAGATGACACGTTTTATAGCGCCTTATATATGTGCGCTATACCTCCCGCCCATTTTAAGTTCAAATATAGCGCGGTTATTCACCGCGGTATACTTTAACGGACAAAACTGTCGTTAAAGTATAGCGCGGTGAATAACCACGCAATATATAAACGCTATATATAAAATGATGCCTTTTTTTTAAAACCTATTTGTGTCTAAAAAGACGGTTCCGGATTCATGTATTCTAGGATGTAGTCTTTGGAAATTAATGTTGCAATCATCCTCAGTCTCGTGAGACTAATGTGTAAATAAATGTAAGTCAAGACTCTATCTTAAACATGTCCCATAATAGAAATCAAAGATAGTACTGCAAGCCCAAGTTCCCTATTGCAGTTCTTGGCTCGTCTGAGACGTACGTCAGACTCGTGGCATATCATACATCGATTAGTCATGAAATATTTGAAATTGGACCTTTCATTAATTTTGCACCGTGAAACATGTTTAGAATCACAATCTTTTATGTTGAATCGTTTGTATTCGTAAAAAGCCAAGAAATATCAATTATATCAAATCAAAGAAACAAATGAAGCAAATAGTACAACTGCTCATATGCTGTTTGATCACGATATGATGTCTAAATTATATTAACTGGGGTAATTTCACAGAATGTCATAGAACTTATAGTATTATTGCAGGAAAGTCATCAAACTAATTATTCCAACTATAAAATCACTCTAACTTTTATTAGTGCAACAACGAACTGATGTGATGAAGCATCCTAGCTTTTTCTCTGATGAGCCGAAAACGACCTTCCACCTATGCATAATTTTACTTCAAATATTCAGTCGCGTGAGGGACCATTCAGTAAATTAAGTTGTAATTTAAACAACTAATAGCAAGTTGTAATATCGATTCAACTAATTTCTTTGATATAGACGTGCAAAGTGAAATTTAAACACTAATAACAAGTTGTAATATCGATTCAGATGTATATATACATGGTCTCTTAGGAACAGGATATTTTTATGTCTACTTGACTATATGTCTTGCTTTCATTTGGATGAATATTGCACTATTTTAGTTACCTGTTTATATAATCAAATGAAGCTTTAGGTTTCTATCGGACCAACTTGTACTATGAATTAGCATTTCTAACGTACGACCATTTCAAATTGACTAAAAAGAACCACTTGCTTCATGATGTGAAAAATAAACGAGGACTAGACGTTGTAGTATCTAGTCTCTCCAAAACTTAGAGAGGATTTTATCACTTCCTCATTTATTTTATTTTGGGGAATTTTATTGGTGATAGGACTTAGTACCACTTTGAGAGATGACGAATAAGCATGTCACAAATGCTATATTTTGACGACAATTCCCAAAATATAATATAAAATTTTTGTAAGCTTCTCCTCCATTCCAAATCGTGTCTAACTTTAAAAGGTTGTTGAAACTCAAACTAATCAAGAAAATTGAAGTCTATGTGTTTGGTTAGATTTTGATAGTAGTTTATTATCAACAAGGCACTGGGTAATAATAGAAACTACAGTAGCCTTTGCAGATTCAGAGTACTGAACACGTTGTTGGAATTAATGTATTCTTACTAATAAAATAAAATAAAATCTGTCACATAATTAGATTATCCAGCGACCAGCAGTGTATAACAAGTGGTCATGACTCTTACAACTGTTTTAAAGACATGCATAATCATATTCATAGTACAAAGTACGAACACTCCACGACACAATCTCACCATGTTGATATTGCTGTACTTACTGTATTTGTTCTTAATGCTTTTTCGCTGAAGTTGCTACATTTTTAAAAGGTTGTCGAAAACTCTAAAAGTAATCAAGAAACATATTTTTAAGGCATGAGTGACTTAACCAAGTCCAATAATAATATTCATGTTAAGAAGAAGGATATACAAAACTTGAAGTCTCTGTGTTTGGTTGGATTTTTTTATTCTTTATAGTAGTTTATTATCAACAAGGCAATGGGTAATAAACTACAGGATGCTGGCATATCCATAGCATTTTGCAGATTCAGGTGTAACTTCTCGGGGTCTTTTCGTAGGATGGATAAACAAAAATAATTCTAGGATAAGAATTTAGTATCGCTTTATCACTTATTTGGTTACTAATCCTAAGATAAGTTAATCCAAGATTAAAAATAGTATTGGGATAACTTATACCTGCCAAATGGTGGAATAGTAATCCCAGGATAAGTTATCCTAGGATAAAACAGTAAAATTGACAATTCCATGATTATCACAATATACCAAGCAATCAATAAGAAATAATACAAGGATAATTAATCACAGTATAACTAATCCCAACATAACTTGTCTTCAAACCAAACAACCCCTCAGTGAATTCATTTTTTTTCACTAATAAATCTGTCACATTCATTTGATTATCCAGCAGTGTATACCAATTAGTAACTTCAACTATTTTAAGGACATGTATTATCATATTCATAGTACATCTACTCCACGACACAATCACACCATGTTTATAACACTGTACTTTCTGTACTTGTTCTTTTCCATAAAGCCAATTGGCAGAAATCGCTAGTTTTTTCATTCAAGAAACAATACAATGTGTCACACATTCATTGTTTTTTTTAAATCAGAAATATTGATGAAGAAGAAAATATCATTCGAACAAATCAGCAAGTTTCTCAATTCCTGAAAACATACCCAGGACAAAGATCAAAAAAGGATTCTAAAAAGGACAGTGGATAGATTTCACCTGATTCTGGGTGAAGTCACTTCATTTCAAGTTACTGTTAGTTATTATGTCGGTGTTTTATCTTTTTTCACTAAGGTGATGTTGATAGCACATCTGCCCCCGACACTTATGGTACTATGAATAATGAGGACACATTTTTTATGGATCATTCTAATCTCAGTCCTTATATTTTTTATGGGAGTGTCAAATTTGCAACTATTTTTCCTCAACTTTTCTATTTTCATATCTTTTGGACGTTTCTACTCTGATATCCTCTTCCAACACCCCTTTCCTTTGGTAATGGTATGTTTTTCTTGAGTTATTCATTTTTATGAAGAACTAATTCTCCTTATACCGCCTGCCCAATCAAACGGCCCTGAAGAGAAAAAAAGGAAGATACAAAGACGTGAGATGAAATTGCAGCAGTCAATCCATGTGTTAAGCTGTACAATTACTATAAATTGGGAATTCCAACTTGGCCGCTATGCGTACCCTGAAAGATGCCAATTTATTATGTAAGAACCTATTTATTCCACCGAAATAAAGAAAACTTCTACCATAAAACTTTTATTCTAACAGACAGCATTACCAGCAGTGACATCCAACAGCGGTAACAACGTTTTAATATCTCAGTACCCCAATAGGGACAACATCAGGCAAAGATAGAAAATACACATAAGCTGAATAAAAGATACTAATCTTTAGGACTAAAACACAACATATGAAAATGACAAGCAGCTTAGTTGAAGGTTGTATTGTATTTTCCATACGCTTGCTATTGCAGCTTGAAATATGACAGTTGATCTATTCTTTCTGGTAAAAGGAACGTAAGGCAAGCGCTACACCCAATATCAACAATGGTAACAAGAATTGCAATATCTTTGATAAATTTCCAGAACCCTGGTTTCCAGCGGGTGGTGGCGTTGCAGGCGGAGTATATTTGCGCTCAACGGGAAGGGTAGAACGGTCTATCTCACCAACGTAGTACTTCTTCATCATCTCTCTTGCATCATCACTGTGACCGACATCTTCAAAATCATCTGTTGCATCCTTCCCTATTTACCACACAAATTTAACACCGTATCATATCTCAGTTAGTATGTCGGTTCACGAAAACGACTAAGATACCCTCTTAAGTGTTTAGTCATACCTGTTGCAGTCAGCAAGACATCATCACCTCCAGGATGATCATCCAGAAATGAGGTTACATTATAAACCTAAGATCAAGTTGTCAAACATGAAATCCAAAGACAATAGGATGGAAATTTAATGATAGCAACAGTAAACAACAAGTAGAACAACACCGATAAAACACTGCCGCCAGCATAGGAGGTTTTGCTTTATGCCTGGTGACAACAGTATTTATTACCATAGGTTAAATAGAGTCTATGTCAAGAACCAAAAGTGATGACAACTATGTAATATTACAGATTCAGGTTCTGATGTATTCGTTCATCTGAATTACTTACCTTATGCAACATCTAGAAATCTTAGAGAACATGAAACCATTCTAAAATGCATCATGGTCGGTTAACACTAAAAATTGGAATAAAATAAGTGCAGAAACGATTTCAAGCTATAACATGCAGGTCAAGCATTTTAACGTCACAGTGGATATATAAAACATAGCAGCAAGTATGAAATATCACAAGAAAGGGAATGAGAGAGACCGTTCATATTATAGAATCACATTATAAGATTGAGCAGGAGAGACGAAATAGCACGGTCCTCCCCACAAGACGAAAAACTTCTCTCCATGTATTTGTCTATAGACAATGTAACCATTACATGGAAAACAATGTATATGTAACTCGGGATTGATTAAGTGTCATAATTATAAATGTATGAGAAAGTTGCAACTTAGGGTACGCTGGTAGCAAAATGAAACGGAGAACAGATAATGAATAAATTGGTCTAGCTGGAAACTAATGGTGATTAAGAAGTTATTGATAATAATGGATCAGTGGGAAAAAATTAGACCAACGAGGAGGTCAAGAGCTTGTCCAATGAAAGAGCACACGTAGACAAACCTTCGACCATTTACCTGTGACGTCATATAAGGCTAGTGGTAAAGGAATAGCAATTAAAGAGTGCTTCTACCTAATGATATTGCCATGTGTCCAATAGGTAAGAGTGTTGTATGCTGGTTCAAAATTGTTCTTCTAAAAGTCGCATATCTCCTGGCAATTAGCACTCTGAAATATCATAGGAGAAATAAAACCGAATTGCATTACCTTCCCCTAACAGATTTGATCTCTATTATGTAGTTGAAAACCCAACCTAATGTATTTCTCATACTTCCTCTCTTCTCTACTGCATACTATTTAAGAAATAGTTTTGCAGGAGTCTGCAAACGGTCTTTTCTGTTGGACAAGAATTTTATTTTCACTAATTCCCAAAAAAACATGTTAATTTTTCATTGGTTAGATTGGGTTAGAGACACAGTTCATAAAATTTGAACATCTGGACAAAAAATGAAATTTATCAATGTAGTATAAAATTTTGTAACACTTACGGTACTTTGTTAGTTTCTTAATTTTCACTAGCCTCCTTTCCGTAATGTAATACAATAATCTCCCTACAACTCGAGGTACCTCTCATCACAATTTATTCTCAGGAAGATATTCTTTTTGTCTTTGATTCTTTTATCTCTGGGCTTTACTTTGTCCCCTTCGCTTTTAAGTTCATTGTCACTTTGATATTCAAATTGATGCTACAAAGCTTCAAGAATTTAAGACCTATACTTAACACACTACATTATGCCCTTTAGAAATATTTACTCGTGTTTAGATATCTCCTTGGTGTTCTAATTCTATAATTTCTAATTCGCCTTATTAAGAAATATTTACTGGAGCTGTTACTTCATTCCTTTAATTATTATTTTCAGAATTGTATGCACCAGTTTATGCACTAAACCCCCTTCACTTTCACTCTTCTCTTTCTTCTTTCTTCTATTCCTTTCTCTCTTCTGTTATCACTTTGTTTAATCCCTAACTGATACTTGCCATTCTTCTTTGAAAGTAAAGCAGGGTGAAAAATCTTTATGTATTTTTCTTTTAGGTAACCAAATGCCAATCTTTATGTATTTTTCTTTTAGGTAAGTTAAATGCCTATTAACATTTTAAAAACAAAGTATTTGGGTTTATATCTCGAAAAAAACACGGGCGGATTCAAGCGCACAAAATCTTACTTAGACGACATTTGGTGCATCTTTCTTACTTGCACATCTTAATTTCATTTCTTATTTCTGCTTTTTCCTATCTCTATTTACTCCATTTGTTAAATTTTAGCTTTCCCATTTCACTACATAGGCCTCCAAACTCTATAAGGTGAAAATTGGAGCTTATACTATTGGATAACATGCTTCTCCCAAGAACTCTTCAGCAGAGCAAATGAGATTCTCAAAATTTTATGTTTTTAAAAAAAAAAATAAACTTCATTCACTCAGCATCCAGAAGATGCAAAGGATTAGAAAAAGAAAAAAGAAGTAGCTCCTACACAGTCTGATAACTCCTAGCAAGAAATAGGGAGCTTATAAAATGCAAAGAAGTGTCAATTATTTACATTACAGAGACTACTCCAAGCAAAAAGATTCATAAAAAATCTCTAGCCTCAGTGATTAGGAGTTGAAATCTCTTCAAAACAGCGGTGGTTTCCTTCTTTGCAAATGCACAAGATGATCACTGGCAGAAGTCAGAACCATCTTCCACATGTTTATGGCTTTCAAATTCTTAATTTTTTTTATCACAAAAGTAACAAGTTTCAAGATTTATTTTTTATTTCTAGAAAAAAGATTTGTTGTCATTAATTACTTGTGTAATGGAGAAGTGAACAATATTATACAAATTAGGTCCTTACAGTCATGTGTAAACTAAGTTCATGCATAATTGAGTCCTAGATTTTCTTACAGCATAAATTTTGATAGGCATTTCTTTTTGATAACCTAGAAATCCGTTGTGCGTAGTCTCGAAACTCAGTGGATAATTAACCTTCCTGATTATCCTTCTCTACTTAAACACCATACTTGATTTAACAGTTACGATTCGAACTCATGACATACGCCTACCACACGTTCCCCCTTATACTACCTTTGCCATTGAACCAAAACCCTGGGAGGCACGAATTATGCGGGGCATTAGTGTGCATTCAATAATATTTGGCCAAATACTTAGATGGCCCCTTAAACTTGGCCATTTTTTTTCATTTAGACACCTATCTAAAAGAGTGACCTATTGACCACTTCATGTTGATTGAAAATGTGTCAATTAGACACACTGCTGACATGGCAGTGTGCGTATAATTATATTACGCTCCTTGTGAGAGCATGAAGAAACATAAGTTTTTATTTTTTATTTCTTTCTGCTTTCTCTCTCATCTTCTCTCTCGCGGTCTCGCCACCATCATCCTAGCCAAGGCCGCCGAGACTCAGCCACCATACTTCCCTGCCAAAAGAAACACCATTCGTTCCCCTCTCTCTCTAAAACCACCACCCTCCACCTTCAGACCACTCATATACAGACAACTCCATCACTCCACTGTCATAAACCCACTTGCTCTTCACTGAGTGCCACATATCCACCAAACAACAACAAAAAGTTGAGAAAGCTAAAAAATCACGGAAAATTTCCAAACTACAGCTAAAAACCAACAAACAAAAACTCCTCCAACCATAATCTGATTCATCTTCAACCGTCGGATCCACTTCTATGCCACCACCTAATGGTAAAGGGTAATAACCTTCCGGAGATATTATTTTGGGTAACTAGAACAAAAAGGCAAAATGGGAAGCAAATTTTGGGATTCTTTCTGCAAATTTCGCGCATCTGGTGGCAAAGCTATTTTAGCGTTGGTTCGTACATCCTTTGTTCAGAGCAAGGGCAAGCAGGAGTTTCTATGGAGTTTTAGATTTTTATAATTGTAGACATATTTCAACTTTTTTTGTGTAATCACTAATTAGAGTCCGTGTATTTGATAAAATCTTTAAGGTGTAATTAGATATGTCGTGAAATGGAGAAACAAAATGGTGGACATGGTGAAATTAAGAAGACGAGTGCGAGTTGCCTGGAAAGTTTTTTCCACATGTCATTTCTTAATTGGCTTCTTTGCCACATTACTGCGTTTGAGACTCACACACCACCTTTTTGTGAGGAGTTGTCATTTAGGTGTTTAATAGACATATTTTCAATCAACATTAAGTGTTCAATAGGTCACTCCTTTAGATAAGGTGTCTAGATGAAAGAAATGGCCAAGTTTAAGGGTCCGTCCATGTATTTTGCCATAATATATTCTCAAATGTACAACAATTTGTCCTAAAGATGGACTATTACAACTTAAATGGTTTAATCTCTTTTTCCCACCATTTTCCCACTTTTCGCAAACATATTTGTGTTCATGATTGTTTTCCTCCTGCCATTTTTAAATCTTTAAAAGAAGTAAGAGAAGAAATATATTAGCTAATATTGTTTTGTCTCAACAAAGTTTCATCTAAACAGCATGTCAATATTTAGTTGAAATCTATCAATCTATGTTTTCTTGGGGGGTGGGGTGCATTTTACCCGTTTTCTCATTCGACAAGAGTGGGTTGCTCTAGTGGTGAGCACCCTCCACTTCCAACCAAGAGGTTGTGAGTTCGAGTCACCCCAAGAGCAAGGCGGGGAGTTCTTGGAAGGAGGGAGCCGAGGGTCTATCGGAAACAGCCTCTCTACCCCAGGGTAGGGGTAACACACTACCCTCCCAAGACCCCGCTAGTGGGATTATACTGGGTTGTTGTTGATGTTGCAATTTCCTGCAACAGCCTGTGGAATTATTAATACCACTTTCCTGGGATTAAATAGTCCCTTGTATTAGGATAGAAAGGGTTCTTAGGATGACTCAACAAAAAATCTTTCTTCTGTACCCAAAGACATGATAGAATGAGGATGATGCCTCCTCATCCCACCTTATCTGTCAAACCAACTATGCACTAATGATTGAAAGCTTTGTTTAGTGATCATTAAGATTATCTACTAATCAATTCCAGGATACATAAGCCAGAGAGAGTAAAAGGATAAAAAGACCGATAACACATACATAAATTGTGACACTGCAGGATAGATAAAAATAATTAGAAGGAGACGGCAATCATTTGTTAATAATGTAGAAGGAGATGGTAATCATAATAGAAGAAAATTGGTGATAGGACTACCTTGTTGAGACCGGTAAGTGGAAATGAGACAATCAAAAGCATTAATGCATGTATTCTACAAATATATTATGATGAGGAAACTTAAACTAAATTTAAAGAAAATACGGATACCTTGATCAAAGGGTTTTCAAATTACCAACAAATATTTATAGGAAGAAATCTGAACAGACATGTTGGTAGATACAGTAATGACTTCCATAGACTACATCGCAATATATTTATGGTACAAACAAATGAATAAGGGAATGCTATGAAGAAAACTTATTTCGTTGGCCTACAGACTCTAAGAATCAACACGAACTACTTAGTGTTAGCTAACAACAAAACACAATGAACATAAAATATCCATATAGGCTATACTAATGTGTTGGGAGACTTTAACAATTGTTGTTATATTTGGGCCGATATTTGTTAAGTCTTTTTACCTGGATCAAGGCTTAGCTTGTATAATGATAAATAAGATATCGAGAGAAAGATTAATTTTCGAATCAAGAAAATTTGCGTTGCAAGAAAATTTAATATAGTACCGCAATGCAATAAACCAAAATAGTGTGGAATGGATACAGAGGCTTCATATATCCAACCTGAACTAATTTAGACAGAGACGTAGTTGGTTGATTGATTTATCTATGAACATCGATTCCCCAAGATATGACCCAGATGTCCAAAGCTACTTCCTTCTAGTTATAAGGAGTACTTCGAGTTGAAATGGTTTTATTACAACTTATAATAGCCTAGAAACGGGGAAGTAATTAAAACTGTAGTGATCCCCAAAAGAATTGTTAGATTTGTGTAATCCAGCAAACGAGTCTATCACAAAAAGTAACAAATCAAGAATAGAAACAACAGATAAAGTGATAGTTGAACATGCAAAAAGAAAAAAAGAAGCTTGCCTTTCCAAAGATGATAAGCCAGCAATCATCTTTCTTGTTGTGCTCCACCACCTCATTAAAAGCATGAACTTTACTCATCGTTGCCGATCACCGGATACAATCTAATCAAATGGGAAAACAAAAAAATAAACTTAGAAATTGTAATTAAAAGTACAGAATATACCAAAAAGAAATGAGATTGAGACAAGATAAAGAATCTAACCAGGATGCAAAACAGAAACTCAGCTTGCCTCTGAACTTCCGCCCACTGCCAAAAGCCCCACGCTACTTAAAAATTTACTATTAGTCAAACTTGGTAATGTGTTTGTCTATAGCCGTCTCCGCTTTTGTCTATTACGCATACCAATACCCGATCCCAATGAATTAGGATGCTTATTTTTAGGCTGGTACACGCAAGAAGCTTTTACTGACGTTTCACTTTCTTTTTTATTTTTATTTTTATTTTTTATATATATATCAGAGGTGGGTGGGAAGATATCATCAATATTGCTCTTATTTTCTCTTTTCTTTTTAATTTACTGGTCAATTTAATTCTTACTGACATCTTCTTATCGTAGATTCCATTAAATTCAAACACAAGTTACGTAGTTTGGTACAAAAAAGATTTTCTTAATTTCTTATTCATATTTAATTTATTCGTTAATTTGTTTTTCTTTCTTTCATTTTCTGTTAGTAAAATACAGTTCAAATAAATTGGGACGACAAGGAGTGTAGGTTAAATAAACTCTCATATAATTATACTTTGCGCAATTAGCTATGAAGTACTAATCACTAAATCATGGTAGGTCTGCCAGCAATAGTACTTTATACGGTTAAAACTGAGCCCACCCGATTTTATTATTTGACAAAGACCGGGAGTTTGCATCGGAGGATGCCCTCGTAACGGAATATGCCATATCACGAGAATAAGGTACCGAGTTCAGAACCGAGGTACCTGTCAAGATCGAGACTAGTAGCGATCGAAACCAAACAAGACAGACATCGAGCAAGATCAAAGATAGCACAATAACATAAAGGCGAGATATCCGTGACTGATCGAGAATCACGGCATAAATCTCGGTGACTGGTCGAGGATCATGGCGTAAATCTCGGAACGGATCAAATCAGAAACGGTTAATTAGTTAATCATGTGATTTCCTTCTGTAATTAGAGTTGTACCATAAGTGGAACTCCTCTACTATATAAAGGGGAGTATTAACCATTTGTAACACACGGGTCTCACGTAAAAAAGGCAATATAACACTCTCTCTTTAGCTTATACTTTCTTGTTCATCAACTTGCTTTATTTTTAACTATTTTGGTATCAATCAGTTCGAGGGTACCCTAACTCGAGGGTTGAATTTCATTTCAATACTGGTTCGCTTTATTTCATAGTTCATTTATGTTATTAATCTTCATATTTGTCTATCGGTATTAAGTGAAATCGCGTATCCTTAGAACCTCATTATAAGTTTAATTGTTATCAAATTTTAAGGGTAAACAGTTTGGCGCCCATCGTGGAGCTAAGGATAATAGTGATTGCTTAATACTAATTTCGATAACACACATTGCTTTACACTTGTTCGGGTAAGAATCTTTCTTTGCAGGATAAACATGTCAAACTCGCAATCANAATCGAGGTACCTCAGGCCGACCTCGAGGGAGCACCAATTGCAAATCTCGTCGATGTTAGTTCACATTTCGCCCTAAATGCAAATTTGGGCGTTGAGCCCGAAGGTAGTATACGTAGGGAAGTTCGATAAGGTGGTCGAGGTACGCAGGGCGGAGAAGATGGTGGAGTCAGTCTCCAATTGATATTCGAAATGTTACAGGATCAACAAGCCTCTATAGCATAACTACAAAATTAGCACCGAACACCGAGTAGGATCGAACCAGAAGTCGTTCACAGGACTGGGCTTGTGCCAGAAAGGTCGAACGCCAACGAATCGGGGACTGACCCCGCCATTATGAAAATGTTCGAGGAGCTCACTAAACGGATTGAATCGGGAGAAAAAAAAAATAGAGGCAAATGACAAGAAAGTGGAGACATACAACCCCCGGGTTGACCAAATACCAGGGGCAACGCCGATTCTAAAACGTATGGATTCAAAGAAATTTGTACAGAAGCCCTTCCCACCAAGTGCGGCACCGAAACCCATTCCGAAGAAGTTTCGAATGCCAGAAATTCCTAAGTATAATGGGACCACCAACCCTAATGAACATGTCACTTCTTATACATACGCAATAAAGGGAAATGACTTAGAAGACGATGAGATTGAATTTGTTCTACTGAAAAAATTTGGAGAAACCTTGTCGAAAGGAGCAATGATATGGTACCATAATTTGCCGCCTAATTCCATTGATTCCTTCGCCATGTTTGTAGACTCCTTCGTAAAGTCACATGCCTGAGCAATAAAGGTTGTGACTAGAAAATCGGACTTTTCAAGGTGAAACAAAAAGAAAATAAAATATTGAGGGAATTTGTATCTCGGTTTCAGATGGAACGCATGGAACTACCACCGGTCACAGACGATTGGGCTGTTCAGGCCTTTACTCAAGGTTTGAACGAACGGAGTTCGGTGGCATCACGATAGCTAAAGCAGAATTTAATTGAATATCTAGCGGTAACCTGGGCCGATGTACATAATTGGTACCAGTCGAAGATCAGGGTCGAGGATGATCAATTGGGGACCCCCTCCGATTCCGCTTATCCAAACAGGCCGGTCAGCAGAACTCAAAGGGATATCTACAGAGAACCCCGGTCGAGCAGAGATCGGTATCTACCATACAAGGCAGATCGTAGAAACAGCGGCCCAGGATGCAATCCCATCCGAAATGATCGAAGGAATGATCGAAGACCGAGCTCTCGAGGGCTCATGAGTAAAAGTGGCTTCGATAAACATGCCAATCCCACAGAAGCACCACGATTGTCAGAATACAACTTCAGCATCGACGCATCAGGTATTGTGTCAACCATTGGTAGAATCAAAGATACTAGATGGCCCAGACCCCTACAAACCGATCCATCCCAAAGGAACCCTAATCAAACATGAAAATACCATGGTACACATGGTCATAAAACCGAAGACTGCAGACAACTAAGGGAGGAGGGTCACCTTCGAGAATTCTTGAGCGACCGAGCTAAAAACCATTTCAGAGACAGAGACGCAAACAGGAAAAATGAGCAGGAATAACCACAACACGTGATTCACATGATCGTTGGTGGGGTCGATATTCCACAAGGGCTCGTGTTCAAACGCACTAAAGTATCAATCACCAAAGAAAAACGAACTCAAGACTATATGCCAGAAGGCGCTTTATCATTCAATGATGAGGAAGCAGAAGGGATCTCACAGCCCCACAATGATGCTTTGGTAATCTCTATCCTTATGAATAAAATTCAGGTTAAACGTGTTTTAATTTATCCAGGAAGCTCGGCCAATATTATTTGATCGAGGGTCGTGGAGCAGCTCGGCCTACAAGATCAGATCGTACCCGCAGCTTGGATTCTCAATGGCTTTAACATAGCAAGCAAAACAACTAAAGGTGAAATCATCCTACTAGTAAATGTAGCCGAAATTATTCAAGAAACAAAGTTCCATGTGATCGAAGGCGATATGAGATACAACACACTGCTCGGAAGACCTTGGATTCACAATACGAGGGCGGTCCCCTCACCCCTTCACCAAATACTGAAGTTCCCAACATTGGATGGAGTAAAAATGGTGTATGGGGAACAACATGCTGCCAAAGAGATGTTCGCAGTCGACGAAGTGATGCCGGTATCGGCGCTTTCGTCAACAAAAGGATCGGAGTCCAAAGGAAAACATGAAGCTAAATAGCAACCACAGCTACCAACCTCGACTCAATCGGAGAAGCAGGGAACGGACGAGGACGAGGACTATTGGATCCCTCGATCCTTCATAATCCCCGAGGATTCCGACGCTACCAAATCAACGGTTGAGGAGCTGGAGCAAGTCGTACTGATCGAGCATCTACCTGATCGAAAGTTATACCTGGGTACGGGGTTAACCCCGGAGCTCAGGGAAAAACTCATCAAATTTTTTATCAATAATATGGATTGTTTTGCTTGGTCCCATTTAGATATGACAGGGATCCTGCCGGAAATCGTTACACATCGACTGAGCTTAGACCCGAAGTTCCGCCCTGTAAAATAAAAGAGAAGACCCCAGTCCGAGGTAAAACATGCATTCATCAAGGACGAGGTAACCAAGCTTCTCAAAATAGGATCCGTTCGGGAGGTAAAATATCCTGAATGGTTAGCAAACGTAGTCATAGTCCCTAAAAAGGGAAATAAACTTAGAATGTGCGTAGACTATAAAGATTTAAACAAAGCATGTCCTAAAGACTCTTTTCCTCTGCCGAATATAGATCACATGATCGATGTCACGGCCGGACACGAGATCCTTAGTTTTCTCGATGCCTACTCCTGGGTACAATCAAATACAAATGAACCCGGAGGATCAGGAGAAGACTTCGTTCATCACTAAGTGTGGCACCTATTGTTATAGTGTATGCCGTTTGGACTAAAAAATGATGATGCCACTTATCAACGCTTAGTAAATCGAATGTTCGAAGAAAAAATAGGTAAGTCAATGAAAGTTTATATTGACGATATGCTAGTTAAGTCCCTGCGAGCAGAGGACCATTTGACACATTTGCAGGAGACCTTCGATAAACTAAGGGAATACAACATGAAACTCAACCCGGAGAAATGTGCATTCGGGGCCGGCTTGGGAAAATTCCTCAGCTTTATGGTATCAAATCGTGGTGTCGAAATCAATCCCGATAAGATCAAGGCGATCGAAGACATCACAGTCATGGATAATGTTAAGGTCGTACAAAGATTAACAGGACGCATAGTCGCCCTAGGCCGATTCATCTCGAGGTCTTCAGATAGAAGTCACAGGTTCTTCTCACTGCTCAAAAACAACAACAATTTTTCATGGACCACAGAATGCCAACAAGCATTGGAAGAACTAAAGCGGTACCTCTCGATCCCGCCACTGCTTCATACTCCGAAAGCGGACGAGCAACTATACTTGTACTTAGCAGTCTCGAAAATCGTGGTAAGTGGGGTCCTAGTTCGAGAAGAGCAAGGTATGTAATTTACTGTTTATTATGTTAGTCGAACTCTATGTGAGGTTGAGACCCGGTACCCCATACTTAAAAATATTAGCGCTTGCCCTAATAAGCGCCTCTAGGAAATTAAAACCATATTTTCAGTGTCACCCGATCTGCATAGTGACTACTTATCCTCTTCGCAATATTTTGCATAAGCCCGAACCTTCGGGCCGATTGGCCAAATGAGCCGTCGAGATCAGTGGGTAGAATATCGAGTATCGACCCCGAACGTCCATCAAGTCTCA